CTTGTCCATGTGCTCAGTGTTTGTTATCTTAACTTGATCTTGAGTCGTACCGACAGAACTGCTACTTTTATCCATCACTATGCCTCGCAAAGCCATTACCAATGGCTGAATGGGACCTTGGGCGTCCTCTGGCTGCTGACTCAATGAAAACACAGAGGATATGATGGGGAAGCTCTCAGGTTCTGAAACGTCCCTCTCTTTTGCCAGCTCATTTAGTCTGACTTCCGGCATCCAAGTTGAGCTCTTTGACTTGGCATGATTTGAAAAAACAGGAGTTTTGACTGAAACAAGCTTGTTTATAGTCTTGGGTAATGAAAAAGACTGAGTTGGAACATTATCCTTACTGACGAGACATATTGGTGGTCTCACTTGGACAGTTGGAACAATGGAACTTCTTATGGAGGGAGAAGTTGATTTAATCCTGTCCTGGTTCGAGGGTGCCACTTCTTTGATTGGTTTTGAAGCAGTGCTACTCTTGAAGCAGATGTTCCCGGGTTCCACCTTCATAGCCACCGGCATATCCTGCATGTTTTTCGTGTCACCCGCTCTCCTGGATGGAACACTCTTGGGGTACTCTGGAAGTAAGGTCTTTCTCTCATCCATCACTCTCTGAGAAACCATGCTGCTTGGATGCAGGCTGGTGGTGTTCAACCTGCTGGTGACCCTGTTGGAGATAACTGGAAGAGGAGCTACGTGGCTCACCGGTGCTGTTTGCGTAACTCTGATCCCACTGTTTACCCCTTCTCTTACAGGACTGATGATATTTTTGGGAAACTTATTAGGAATGACTACGTTAGACTCCAAGTTGATTATTTCCGGTGATACCCTTTTCAGTCCACTCTTTTCTTTGCTCACTGGAGTCACTGGGAGATTGTTGGAAATACTGACCGGGACAACAGCGGGGCGCTCTACATTCACCATCTTTGTGTCACATGATTTCCTGTTAATAGTGCTCGTGCTCATACTCCCAGGCCGCACCGTGTTGGTGTGATTGATTAATGTAGATGACAATGGCTTCCCCAGCGCTGTGTTTTGAGAAACTGTCATCCTCGTGTCCTTTATCACTGACTCGTTTTCTTGTTGGGAAACGAGCCTGAGCTTTAGTTCTTTTGTCCCATTTACAGTTTTCACCTCAACGAGTTCAACCAAGCAGCCAGCAGGAATTGTTACTTCTTCTGGCAGAGAAACTGTGAGAGCTCTATTGTGCTGAATGAGTCCATTCAAAGGGGAAAGACGTTCTGGGTTGCCATTAGTGACATTCGATACCTTCGTTTCCAGTGTTTTTGCTCTCTGTTCGTCTTTTCCCAGTCTGACAGCAGGTACACTCGGGCTAGGTACCGTCACCCGAACAACCGGCCGAAGCGACGACGGATCGGCAGCGTGCAGGCTTGTTAAGGCACTGGGGACGGGGTCCTGCGGATTTTTCGTCACACCAGGCTTAGCAGGTACCTGAATAATGCTTTTATTATGCAAACGTTCAATGTGCTTAAAAAGGCACAGCCTCCTCATGTAGCCCTGTCCACAGTGAGGACATTTGAATGGATACTTCGAAGTGTGTCGTTTCAGGTGCGCGTTTAACTCCGCCTCACTATAGGAAATATCGTTGCAATAAAAACAGTAAAACCGTGTCCCCATATGCTCAACCATATGCTTCTCCAACGCTGAGGCATCTGTAGACGCAAATCCACATTTCTCACAATACCTCACGTTTGAAGTGGTTAACACGCGATCCAGTGACAAATTTGGATGTCCACCATTCACAGAGGATGGCATGCTTTGATAGCTGACAGGCTTCATAATGAGAAGTGAGGTGTTCTGGCCATCTGGCAGTAATTCTCACAATTTCAGAGGCTGACGTGACACCCTGAAGTAAACATCCATCTTCACCTGATGTCCAGGGTTCATGTCCGGGGAAAGCAGACACTGATGCACCTGTCAACGATGTCTCTCCCTGTGAAAGGAACATAAGAAAAACAAAAACATTAACAAACAAATGATTGACCTAAGCTCACTGTGTACTATGCTTACACTAGGACGAGGCCTGTGAAGCCCCTCCTCTCACGCACAGCTCATGCAGCATTTTCAGCTCCTGCAAATATTTATTTGGCTGTGCGCGCGTGTAGGCAAATCAAAACAATACAGCAAAATAAAATGCAATTAATCAAACTCATTGCACTGGTCTGTATTTGCATTTTTCTCCGTGCGCGCTGAGCTTTCTTCCTTTGAACGTGACGAAAAGGCCCTACCTAACTACAACGGGGGGTTGCGGAGACGACGGCCAACATTACAACTGTTTATATTTGCAACAGAGTCAAATGCCTCATACGCACCTGATTGCCGTGTTACGAAACAGCGATTTGGTCGGTGATATCTTTTTCAATAAAATGAATTTTAAAAAATCCACTCTTTGAACGTGATACTAACGCTTGTCAACGCCACCAACCGAGCCGCTTTGGGTTAGCTTGTCGTTAGCCATCTGCAGCTACCAAAAACAATGGCGGAAGAAAGCTGTTCTGGTTTTCAAAATAAGAGCACGCTAAGTTAAAAATATAGCTGATTCAACATGTTTAGAAATCTTGGCGATGACAAATTCTGTGTCCTTCGTTTTCAGTCAGATCATCAGCAAATAATATTTAACACAACAAAGAAACTATTAATATTTTATTTATTGAACGTTTTTTAATGTAAACAATGTCTGTGAAGGTTCTCAGTAATGTAAACAATATAACACAGTGGCTGCCACAGTATAAGACCTGTATTAACAGGCAGATAACACTGATGATTTAAGTGCAATAAAGAAGAACAAAAACACCAGAGAGCTGAAAATAATATATGGCAGGAAAAACATCAGAACATCTTTTAGGTTCAATAAAAGACAAAATACAACAAATTTCAACCAATAAAAATAAATTAAGTTAAGAAAATATTGATCAATTTTGTGACAAATATGGTAAATTAGAAATAGAAAACCTGGCACCTATGTTAATGCATGGGATTGTTTAAAGATTCAAACCCTTTTGGATTGATTTTAAAAAATATGTTTTTGTGAACTCACAGTAAGACTGACATCATCTTACATGGCAATGTCGAGGGATTTAATAACATGTAGCATCTAGTGGTGAAGATAGTTCATCCTGCTAGGCATGAATTTTTGTGCACTGTCTGATGTGGCTCACAATCTTACCACTGACTGAATGTACGAGGGCATTTTGGGTTATTGTGCAAATATATTAATTTGCTGGAAGCCTGCAAATAAAAATATGTGTTAAAACACAGCAAAGTTTGGTTTTCTGTCCAATTGCATGTTATTAATGTGCATGGAAATTATGTGCTAAACAGGTGAATAAACTGATTAAATGGCCAGTGATAAACAGGGACAGTCCTCGCTTGGTTTCCTTCCAAAAATGTCAGAAGTAAGGCTGATAAGCGCAAATACAAATTATATTACAGTAAATGCAAAGTCATGGATGATTATTGGCTGTTAGAGCAACTCTCAAGGTTGTCAGCTGCCATAAAACTAAAATAAAGAGGAAGTAACGAGAGCATGTAATTGATCTGTCCAGCAGCATGTCAAAAGCAATTGCCAGGCAGAAACTGTGTTCGTGCTGCTTGTGCATGTATCCATTTTCAGCAGCTCAATATGAAGTGGACAAACTGACATAGTTTTAAATATATGGGGTTTTTTTAATCGTTGGATGGAAATCCTTTGCCTGCATTTGGTGATTGCAGAATCTCTTTCCCTTGGGAAATGCTCGGGTTGCTTTTTCAGCACGCTTTGGGTCACGATGTCCAACCGGTTTTGCAGCATCTGCAATATACACAAGTGAACTGGTTACACTGGGTCACTAGTACAGGCCAATACCATAATATTGTCTCCACCATATCATTTTGGTACAGTTTAATCTTGATTTCATCTGTCCAAAGAATCTTTTCAGAGCTGTGCAGGCTCTTCTGGCATTCGTGAAGTTGCCTTTTGATTGCAGACTTTGACAATCATACACATACCCCCTTGCTGGTATTCTTGGTTCTTTAGATGCTTTGAAGTTGTTTTTCTTAACCGTAGAAAAAAATATTGCAAATAATGAATATAATTAGAATAATGTATTTGTCTTGTGTGGTGTTGTGGGGTGTCTGAGTGGATTATTTGGCCACTACTAACATTTGTGCTATTTTTCTGAGAGATTTATTTGGGTTTTTGAGCCTGTAGATGGCCTTCTTGTTAAGCTATAAAAGAGTCAGTTGAAATGTATTAATTTGTCATGCACTGCCATGGTCTGCACTTCATTGGCATCTTGTGTAATTTAAAATCCATTAAAAATAAAGAAAAGAAAATGATATCACAGTCCAAAACATTATGGCCTCGACTGCTGTCTAATTCTTCGTTTCCTTTAGGCGTTATCTCACAAAGTAATATAATGCATGCTGCTACTCGAGTGTACTCTTGTTTTGAAAGGCCCTGTGAGAAGTGTAACTTCATCATTTGTTTTTCTTGACAGGCTGAGCGCAACGGACCTGTGATTCTGAAAGAAATACCACGCAAATCTGCCACATCTTCCCCTGTTATTTACGCCAAATCTCCCACAAAAACAACGCAAGGCTTTGGAGGATCTACGCTACTCTTCAAATTTGGCGTCTTCCACCATCACAGTTTTACGGTTTTTACCTGTCGGTTGGTTTTTCCATTATCTCGCACAAGGACTGATTATTTTAGACACGACCAGGCAGCAGTTTGCTAAATCGGGGCAATGTAGAGGGGAGGGGGCTCACCCAGTGACCCAGGAAATGCTTTGACGCTTTTGTGTGTGCTGTAATAAAGTCAAACAACACGCGTTTATCAGCTTGCAGTGGCTGTCAGAGAGAGGCAAAAGGCACCCCGAGGATAGCTCTGATTAAAATGCCATAAAAGCAGTTAGAAACATGCTGTTCACAAGAGTCTGCAGACTGTTTCCTAGTATGTCAGTATCACTGGCATTACCGAGGTGAGTACTCCAGTAAGTTTGTGGCAAACAACGGCTTTACTGATGTGTGTTTAGCGTTTCTGAATATTGTCACGATGCTCACTTTATATCCTTAAATCTGGAGTCGCCAGTGCCTGATCTCCTCAAATATCCTTAAATATTTCCATCAAACCCTCGATGCATGAAAATGCTCTGATTTATTCATGTTTTTGAAGCCACCATACTGTCGCTCATGGGAGGATCATCATGACTATTGTCAGAACAGTTTCTGGGATTTGCACACCATTGTTGCATTTCACAATGACACAGCAGTGGCTTTCACTGACCCTCCCACTCCCCGGTCTGCCCGACACATAGGCCCTGCCTTCCTGCGCCCTTCCTGGTTATGGCACTATTAAAACAGCTGGCCCGGACTCGAGCTCCGTGCTGGTTTCTTCTCAGGAAACAGTTTTTCTTGTCACTTTGCAGACGCGGAGTTATCAGTAGCGGGATGGCCTCAGACCCGTCGGAGATAACCCGGTTCGACTTTCTGGTGGTCGGCGGCGGGTCTGGAGGTCTGGCCGGGGCTCGGCGGGCGGCGGAGCTCGGAGCAGCTACCGCCGTGATCGAGAGTCACAAACTCGGAGGTACCTGCGTGAGTAAAAATAATAATAAAAAATCAATCAGACATCCCTCCCTGCTGCTGTCACCTCTTCAGCATGTACACGCACACTCACACACACAGACACGTCAGTTACCAGATTCACTGCGAAACCTCCCGACTCCTTTTTTGTGTGTCTGACAAACATTGTGGGTTTGAGGTACAAAGCAGCCGATGAGGTTATAAACTGTAACTCATTCCTGTTGCCTTGAGCTGAATCTGTTGTAACGGAGGCATTTTGAAATGATCTGCACAAGGCCTCAATATGAGGAAGAAAGAAGTGGTTTTAAATGCGTTAGGCCTGTCTGTGCTGACTATTAGTTAAATCAGGCCTCTATAGTTTTTTTTTTTCTTCAGTTAAAACATCAGGGGAAGAAATGGCTACCAAAACCTTTCAGTCCAATGGTTTTGGCATAAACCACACAAAGCCACAGTGAAAAACAGTGTGGTTACATTTGCATATATTTTCCTTATTGATAAGTGAATGCTGGTGTTGTATTACTTTACAGCCATATGAATGCGCCTGACCTAATCTTTTACATCTTTTCCTTTTGTAAAATGTTGGTTTTATGAAACACACTGACACAGCATTGCATTTTTTGATACTGCAGTTCTTTTGCTTTGCACTACATAAATATTCTTCCTGTCACTGCAGCTTTAGTCTAAAATGTATCTCTTCCATAATCTATCTGTATCACTGCTACTTGACCAGCTTTCACTCAATTCATTTGTTCTGCTTTCTTTCCTTTTTTCAGGTCAATGTTGGTTGTGTCCCTAAGAAGGTACCTTTTTCTTTACACTTATTATAATAATATTATTATAATAAAAGGTTTTGCATGTACACTTCTCAAAGTTCAAGTTCTCAAAGCCAGCTCTTTTTGTTCTTCTTCTCAGGTGATGTGGAATGCAGCAGTTCATGCCGAATATCTGCACGATCATGGTGATTATGGCTTTGAAACTGGAGACGTTCGTTTCAGTTGGGAGTAAGTTACAGTTTCTGCTAGTGTCTACTTGATTTTTATCTTTTTTTTTTTTTCTTTTTTCCTTTTTTGCAACTGCAATGAACTCTTTTAAAAGCTGTCTTGGTTTTTCCTGGTACAAAGAAGCATTCATTTCTCCCACAACCTCTCAGTCAGTTACTTTGTGTTGCTTAACTTTAGCCCACTTCTCTATCTCTGTGCACAATGAAGTTGGGCAAAAATGACTGTTGAAGATAAGCCTTCCTGAAGGGAGTGGTTGACTACATTTACAACATGAGGAAACCTTTTCAAAATATAACATTAGTGTGAGAGGAATGTGCTGGGATTGGGGTGTGCCTGCATGGATTACAGTAGAGTACTAAGTGCTCCACAAACATCTTCAGTGTGCAAAGAATCCCAGGGGTTAAAGTGGGATTTAGCAGGTGGGAGTTGTAGTGATGCAGTGTGGGGAAAGAGTTACTTAGAAATAAGTCACAATTTGTATTGTGAGCTCCAATTTTCTTTTTGTACAGGCTGTGATCAGCTGACTTGTTGCTACTCTGAGATTCACTGCTGTTTATTTATTTAGCCAACTAAATACAACTGGATATAACCAGGTGTTAAATTTGTTTTTCTTCATCAAACTTGTATTTTTCTACCATCACAGAGACTATAGGAGAGGTCTAACAGTTTATGCTTTTTATGATTCATTTTCTAGAAATGGCAACACAAGGGTGATACAAGACAAGTATTCCTTGTGATGATGGTTTATTAACACAACATATTTTAGCTGGTTGAATAATTTATATTATGTTTTTGCAGAACCCTAAAAGCCAAGAGGGATGCGTACGTCAGTCACCTAAATCGCATTTATCGCAACAATCTTGACAAAGTAAGTGTCAGATGAATTCTGCTCTTTTGGTTTCTGTTCTTTTCAAATGTAATTGCTGTGCAAAAGAAAAAAAAACTCATATGTGCTCTATTTCAGGCTAAAATCCAAACCATTCAAGGTTATGCCAGGTTTATAAATGATGCTGAGCCGACTGTGGAAGTCAATGGAAGAAAATATACAGCACCTCACATCCTCATCGCCACTGGAGGGCAACCTTCTGTTCTGAGTGATGCAGAAGTTCCAGGTAAAACATGCTAAGATAAGAGATAAGATAGAACTTTATTAATCCCTCGGGTGGGTTCCTCTGGGAAATTCGATTTCCAAAAAAGCACAGCACCGACAGAAGTTACAGAGTTATACACACACACATATATATAAATACAGAGACAATATAAATAAAATATACAAAGGGGATAAATAGAATAAATAGGAATAAAAATAAAAATACAAGTGAATTGCACATTTCAAGTATTGAGTCTATTGCACCGTTGACTATTTACAAAAGTATTGCACAAGGTATTGTACAGTGAGGTGAAGAGGCACTACAGCTTAGTTGTTCCCCCCTCCTTTGTCCTCCTGTCTCCCCTCCCTCTCCCCTCCAGAGAGGAGTTAAACAGTCTGATGGCGTGTGGGACAAAGGAGTTTTTAAGTCTGTTAGTTCTTGTCTTGGGGAGAAGCAACCTGTCACTGAACAGACTCTTCTGATTGTTTATGGCCGTGTGCAGAGGATGCCCAGCATTGTCCATAATGTCCATCAGTTTCTTTAATGTCCTTTTCTCTGCCACTGTCACCAGAGTGTCCAGCTTCATGCCGACCACAGAGCTAGCCCTCCTGATCAGTTTCTCCAGCCTGCATGAGTCCTTCTTTGCTGTGCTGCTCCCCCAGCACACCACAGCATAGAAAAGTACTCCAGCAACCACCGACTGGTAAAACATCCTCAGGAGCTTCCTGCAGATGTTAAAAGACCTCAGCCTCCTGAGGAAGTACAGTCGGCTTTGGGCTTTTTTATACAGGTGCTCTGTGTTGCATGACCAGTCCAGTTTATTGTCCACCCACAGCCCGAGGTACTTGTACTTGTTGACCACCTCCACCTCCTCCCCCTCTATCTGAACCGGCAATGGACCTGCTCTAGACCTCCCGAAGTCCACAACCAGTTCCTTAGTCTTTGAGGTGTTGAGTTGCAGGTGGTTTGTGTGACTCCATGCGACAAAGTTCCTCACCAGACTTCTGTACTCCTCTTCCTGATCATCCCAGATACACCCCATGATGGCTGTGTCGTCTGCAAACTTCTGAATGTGGCATAATTCAGAGTTGTAGCAGAAGTCAGAGGTGTACAGGGTGAAGAGAAGAGGGGACAGCACAGTTCCCTGTGGTGCTCCTGTGCTATACGTTGTTTTACCAGTGAGCATCAGTCAGATGTGTAGAAGATGACAGCTGTTGTGTTTGTTGACAATTTCAGGGGCAAGCCTGGGCATTACCAGTGATGGCTTCTTTGAACTTGAAACACTGCCAAAGTAAGCTTGTCATACATACTGATGTTAATGGGAGACCGTCAGAACCATGTAGGTCTGTGATTATAGTATTTGTTTTTTCCTACAGACGCAGTTTGGTTGTGGGTGCTGGTTATATTGCAGTGGAGATGGCGGGCATTCTTTCCACCTTAGGGTCCAAAACATCCCTCATTATTCGACAGACGGGAGTAAGAAAAATGACAACACAGAATCACAATATGACTGTTCTTAGAAGCGTGGAGCCATGTGGTCATATGTGTACTCTCGTATTCTGTCTGTAGGTTTTGAGGAACTTTGACGCCTTTATAAGTGCAAACTGCACCAAAGAACTGCAAAACTCTGGTATAGATTTGTGGAAGAACTCTCAGGTGAAGTCTGTGAGTAAAACGGACAAGGGGCTGGAGGTGACGGTGGTTACCAAAGACCCAGAGAAGAAGAATGACGAGGAGAAGATCAGTACCATCCAGGGAGTGGACTGCCTTCTCTGGGCCATCGGCAGGCAGCCCAATACAGGTGGACTGAACATCGGCGAGATGGTAACAGTTTACCTGTGATTTTTATCTGTAGATTGGATAGTGTAATGTGCAAATACTTATTATTATTATTGTTGTTGTTATTTTATTTATTGGGAGATATTATGTGCTACTTACATGTAGCACTGAGCAGTAAGACACTACCGCTGCATAATTGTCCTTATAGATCATAACAGGACGGCAGATGTCTTTCGATAACTGTGTCTTAGGCACACATACCAACATGAAACTGCTTTCCACAAATAATAATAAAATATTTTATAATTTAAGGCTTGTATGCAAAAAACTGGTATCCCAAAAAAAGCTGACTTAAGCCTTAATAACAGATAATCTGGGAACACGACTGGACAGCTTCCACATGCTACTACTTTGTTGAAGGTGATGCATGAAATTCTGGCATAAATACTTGATAAATGAAGGCGGGGCAGCAAAGTCTCAGTTACGCCAACGTCTTTGATCCGTCTACCGAGCTTAGATTTGAGGGATGTGTAATAACATCGTTTGAATCATTTGTTATATGAAGGAAGAATGAATGACTTGTCAAAGCAGCAGTTTAACCAGCTCTTTTCAAAAACCTAAAAACATGTTGAATGTTCTCACGCTTTAAGACTTTGAGGCCCGTCTCTCTTTTGTCTGTTCTGCTTTACATTTAATCCTCCAGTTTAGCTGAGTCATCGTTATTTCTTGCCCCACACGGGATTTCTCTTCTCAGTCGCATGTCTCTTATTCACTGTCAGTATCATACATGAGGAAGCACACAGAAAGAGGCAAAACATGCACTACCTTTCCTTAAAACCATTATTCATCCGAACTGTGTTTCTCTACAATACTCTCTCTTAGAGAAGGATGGGAGTTTTGGGAGGTTTCTTTTGAGACGTTAATGTTAAGGGAAAGCTGAAGACAGTTCCAAGAATAATAACCAGTTCAAAGGGAACTAGGAGAAAACATGGGCCTAATCTGTTTTAATCTCCACGGTTCACATTTTTACTCGTTTCTAAGACGTGAAACAGTTTTTCTTTTCTTTCTTTGTCAGGGTGTGGATACAGATGAAAGAGGCCACATCATCGTGGATGAGTTTCAGAACACCAGTCGATCGGGGATCTACGCTGTCGGGGATGTTTGTGGCAGAGCTCTTCTCACACCTGGTAGAACCCAACTTTTCTTTATCCACTTTTTGTGTCTGTGTGTGTTCTTTCCAACCTGTTTCCCGATGTTGTAACTATTTTTCCATGTACTTAGTATTGCTGAGTGAAGCCTGGTGATATTAAAGGTTTCTGGGTCTATGTTTAATAGCTCTGAATGGATTTTATTGCTATATAGAGGATATTTGAATATCAAAGCTGTGAAGGCTGCAGATGAGTGCACTGACAGGACATTATCAGATCTTATGTGTAAGTCGCTTTGTGAGAATGGATAACGTCTCTCTGTGTCTATTAGAGGAAAGACCTACCTCAAGTTTAAACCCACACACACTTCATACACTGGTGACTCCAAATAACAGCACTGAAATGCCAGGTTTGCATTTTTGTGACCTCACCCATGGTTTTGGGTGATTACAGGGGATACATAATTTTGTGAAGTGGCTTTTTCAAGAGACTTGTGCATATTAAAAATATGTTTTTAAATAGGAAAACTTTAAATAACAAGTCTCCAGAAATTTGTCCTATACAAACGTGATCTTGGAGTCTGAGTCTGTTGTGTTTACAACCGTCGGGTTTCTTGCGCGTGGGAGGGTCAGGCGCTCAGACAGGAAGGCTTTTCAGGTGTGACTCAGGCTCACCGATTGCTCGTGTGGGTAAACAAAGAAAACAGTATTCAGACAAGGATTTGGTCCCAAATGTCCCCAGCTCTGAAATCCTTTTTGAGAGTCTATTATTTATCTATATTTAGTGGATCAATTGGTCTTTTTCAGTAACTTCTGAAGAGGGCAGGGTGAAATGATGAATGCTGATTAAAACCAAAAAAATCAATTCTTCATCTCTGTAGTTAACAAAAAACTCTTGAGGTCAAAGCTTTAATACAAAAGAGTAAAAGAAAACTTTGAGTGACCAAGGTTTCTTGACAAAACATGTTGGTATCCTGGTGAAGTTCTTCTCCTGGTGCCTTTTTTCTACTTCTGTATTTTGAAGTGTTTGAGTTTGTTTTGTTTTTTTAAACCTATTTTTAATATAAAATGCCCTTTTGTGGGCATTTTGAGTGTTAGCAGCATTCTGATGAGGTTTTCATGTGTTGGGACAGTTGCCATTGCTGCAGGCAGAAAGCTGGCGCACAGACTGTTTGAAGGAAAGAAGGACTCCAAGTTGGACTACACCTGTATTCCCACTGTGGTGTTCAGCCACCCACCAATCGGCACGGTGGGCCTCACAGAGGGTGAGTAGAACAATAAAAAACACATCTCGGTGGGTTTAACTCAGTTTCTGTGGCCGGCTTTCATTTAATCGTTTATCTTATGCGCTATTCCCATTTTTACTCAGCAAGATGTAAAACTGTCCTTACTTTTGATAATGTTCGTGTCACAGAGGAGGCCATTAAAACCAGAGGGAAGGAGAATGTGAAGATTTACAAGACTTCTTTCACACCAATGTATCACGCTATCACCAGCAGGAAGAGTCAGTGCATCATGAAGCTGGTGTGTGTGGGCAAAGAGGAGAAGGTAAGTGTCATCTCTTCTCCAGACAACAGGCTCTAAATAAATGTGACTCTAGCACATTATTACTGTCACCTAAATTTATGAAATAGTGAATATTTTAATGAATATCTTCTTGACGATTTATTTCTATTATTTAAACAACAAAAGGAGGTTCTTCTCTAAATCATCTTAACTTGAAGTGCATTATTTTTATTCGTAAACAACCACATTTGGGCTAAGACATCACCAGTAAATGTTAGCGTATGGGGCCTTTTTCCCCCAACCAGTAATACAGGAGCTCTTCATATTAGGGCTGCCACAAACGATTATTTTGATAGTCGACTAGTCACCGATTATTTTTGCGATTAGTCGACTAATCACATCATCATCCATTGGACGTAAAACGTACAGCTTATTGCACCAGCAGCATCTGGTCTTATATAACTATCATTAGCTTACAGCTTTAAGTGTTTAAGGTGCTAACTAAAAATAAAGACAAGATGATAGTTTATTAAAGTTTAATGAAATTTGCAGATTGTTTCGGTGAAGTTTAATAAACTCCTTGCTATCTAAAATCTAACAGGACACCGGAGTAAATTCTGGAGCATCTCACACTTCTGATAATCAGCTGTCTGCTTGAAGTTTATTCAGCTGTGTAAAAACTATAACTTTAATCTCAGCCAAACCGATTTACTCAGGAACAAATAAAATACTGAAAAAAGCCAAACAATAACATTTTAAGCTAAGTGACGGCAGTGGGTTTGAAAACGATTTGCCGGGAGTCCGGTGTTCTCACAGGCTCTAGTGACCTAGCCCCCGGCTAGCTATCGAGCCAGTGGGTAACAGACGTCTCCGAAAACGTCGGAGCGCTTTTGAAAATATGCGGTGTCCTGATAAACTGAGCAGATATTTGAGGTTTACACAGCTACATTCTCGCCTGAAAATATGTTAAACGTTTATTTTGTGACCCAGAAAGAATAATAAGAGTAATATTAAAACTAACTAGCTGCCGCCATTGTTGGAAACTGCGCTGGGCTGCGCTATGAATTCTGGGATACAGCTTCTTCTTCTTCGGGGTTTAACGGCAGCTGGCATCCTTGTACATGCAGTGCTGCCATCTTCTGTTTCAGTCCGTTATTACACTCTTAAATCCTGCCACTTATTCCTGCGTCTTTTGGGATCTTACAAAGCTTCAAACGACGCGTCGACTATTAAATTAGTCATCGACAATTTTAATAGTCGACGTAATCGTGACTAGTCGACTAATCGTGGCAGCCCTACATCATATGTTGTAAGCAATTGTTTTCTACACTTTCACAGCTATATGTACCAGGATTGAAGAATAGATTTGAGACTTTCCAAAAAAATAACTTGGAAGTACTTAAACTAATACAGGAGGCAGTCCTGAAGCCATCTTTAAGTGTCATTAAAGCCTCTACTAAAATCTTTTAACAGTTTCTTTTCACTCTGCTGCAGTTCTTTAAAAAAAAAAAAAAAAGACGACTATTTTTTTACAATCTTCGCAGGTGGTAGGGCTGCACATGCAGGGCCTTGGCTGTGATGAAATGCTACAAGGATTTGCCGTGGCCATCAAGATGGGTGCTACCAAAGCAGACTTTGACAAGACAGTCGCCATTCACCCCACCTCATCCGAGGAGTTTGTCACGATGCGTTAATGCAAAAACAAACTCACCGAGGCATCCCCCACCCGCTACGCCTCTTGCTTCCCTGTACGACCAGCAACACAGACAAGCATACCAGGACAGAGTCACGCCTTCGAACTGCTCTCGCATCAGCTTGACGACTTGCTTTGTTAACCAGCCTACATGCTTCCATTTTTCTCTCATTTAAGTGACCTTATTTGTACGCAGTGTTTCACTTTTTTTTCTCATTTTTAACTAAATGGACCAAGACCAAGTTATGGTCTTCCTAGACTGTACTGTGGTTCCTGAGTATGGGTTGAAAACTCTGGATTCCATTTTAATGATTGTGAAATGGAAGTGATGCATCTGCAGGTATTTTTGTCAAGAGATTGCTGGGAAGTCAAAAGACCTCTCTCCTAGTGTATGTGTTTGATTTGTCAGTCATTCGTCACATGAATATAATAAGCACTGCTTGTTCTTTAAGGCACCTATTCCCTACCAATGCAGGGTCATGACATGTATCTACTGTACTGTTAAGAAAAAAAAACAATAAACCTGCAGATTTTTTTTTCTTAAATGTTGTGATTTTTATTTCTTATTCAGTGACTAAATTCTGTGGTTGATTGGGCAATAAATGAAGCGCTTCTCCTATTTGGGTAGAGGGAATAAATCCCCACTCAAACTAAAGAGAGATACTTCCTGTTTCAGGTTAAAAAGTGACTTTCAGAATTTAATTATTGTAAAAAGTATGATGAAACTGGATATTATTTGTCAACAAAATACCCTTGCTGTTTAGTTTATTCTACACTTAGTGGCCACTTTAGATCACACTAGATATACCTGTTGAGCTACTTGTTAACAGGCATATCTGTTCATCCAATTACACAGCAGCAAGTGACTTTGAGCATGACGTGGTTGGTGCCACAAGTTCTGATCTGACAACTGGGATTTTCTCAAGCAACCTCCAGGATTTCAAGAGAAATGCTCCAAAAAACAATATATTTAGTGAGTCCCATTCACTGTGGGAAAATATACCTTGTTGATGCCAGAGATCAGAGCAGAAAGGCCAGACTGCTTTGAGCTGGAAGGCAACACTAGTTAGTCACTCATTATAGCCATTGTATGCGGAAGAATATCCCTGGATACACAACATATCAAATCTTGAAGCAGACGAGATACTGAGGTGACAATTCGCACAGCTTCACCAAAATTGAACAACAGAAGATTTAGAAACGCATCGCCTGCCCTGACAAGGACTGATTTCTGCTGAGACATTAGGATATAGTACCATGTAAAAAAATATATAAAAATTTATCTCTCAGATGATGTGAAAGAGGCTTTTTCTTCGTCTCTTTTTAAACTTTGTGGCACTTTTTCATAACCAGCCTTCCTTCACACAGCAAGCTTGCAGTGGGTATTGACATAATAAAATACAGCAAAGGAAAGTCTAATTTTGAAATCTGTTTCATCTGCAATCACTGTGGCTGAATATCCCCAATGGCCCAAGAAATATGTACTGGAGGACACACTCTGTCCCCCAGATGCCCTCCTTTGTCAATTTAAGTGTTAAATATTATAATAGTGGCTTCAACTTTAACTTGGAACTTTTTTATTTGACACAGACAACTTTTCCCACCATGTTTGCTGTTGCAGAATTGATCCATAAAGTGTTCTCTTTCCCATGCAGGAACAACCGGAGGAAAATAACAAAGTGGAAACAAAGTTATTGTTTACATGAGATGAATTGCAGAATGGGAGATAGAAACAAAATACTGTTACTGTTAATCTGACTGTCTTCAGGTTTTACACGCTTACACACGTTACTGTCCCTCCATTTAGAAAGGCAGAGGCGTCACGGTGTGATTATTTTACGTGTTGTTTTTTTCTTGTGCAATAATATTATTCAACATTGCTATAAATACATTTTTCAAAAAATGCCTCTTTGTGCAAAATGGGTTTAAAAACATAAACAACTATGAAATACTGTCTGTCATTTAGACAGGGGGAACAAATCGTGGCAGGATCAGCCTGATGTCAGGAGTAGTTAGTCATTACAACAAGTGTTTGTAAAGTAAAAATCAAGAATATGGGATACTGTTTGTCCGTGATTTTTTGTTTTGTTTTTGTTCCCTTTCCATAGGATCATGTTCTTTGATTTCTCCAGTGCTTTTAACACCATCCAGCTACGACTTCTGAGAGACAAGCTGGAGCTATCAGGAGTGGACCAACACATGTCCCAGATACTGGACTACCTCACAGGACGCCCACAGTATGTGAGGACACAGGGCTGTGTCTCTGACACGCTGGTCTGCAGTACGGGGGCCCCACACTGTGCTGGCACCGTTCCTCTTCACCCTCTACACTGCAGACGTCCAGGGAGTGGACATTGAGATAGTGGACTCCTATAGGTACCTGGGTGTTCACCTGAATAATAAACTGGACTGGAGCCACAACACTGATGCTCTTTACAGGAAGGGTCAGAGCAGACGCTACCTGCTGAGGCGGCTGAGGTCATTTGGAGTCCAGGGAGCGCTTTTAAAGACCTTCTATGACTCTGTGGTGACATCTGTCATTTTTTACAGTGTGGTGTGTTGGAGCAGCAGTTTATCTTCAGCTGAGAGGAAGAGGCTGGATAAACTCATGAGGAAGGCCAGCTCTGTTCTGGGATGCACCCTGGACCCAGTGCAGGTGGTGGGAGACAGAAGGACTCTGGCCAAAATAACATCTCTGATGGACAGAGTCTCCCAGCCCATGCATGTAAATGTTGCTGAACTGCAGAGCTGCTTCAGTGACAGACTGCTGCATCCTCGATGCATGAAGGAGCGTTTCTGCAGGTCCTTCCTCCCTGCAGCTGTCAGACTGTACAATCAGAACTGCTCCCAACAAACGTGGATGTTTACATCTGCGCTGTAACTGCAATAATTTAATCAACCGATTCGCACTACAACCTGGTTTGCCTCTTATCTGTAGTTATTTTTATTTAATTTAATAACTGTACTCTGTTTATAGTAACCATTATCCTTAATGTAAATATGTAAGAAAAATTGTGTATGTTTCTGTTCTGTGTCCTGTGTACTGTTTGTTTGTATATGTGTCTTTCTGGCTGCTGTTACAACCAAATTTCCCGTTGTGGGACAATTAAAGGATTATTCTATTCTATTCTTCTAAGACAAGCCTTTGTGTTCCTTTTCTCAACAGCTGACTGTGGCTAGTAAAACTGAACTCAGCTTTCCAAAAAATATGGTTAACCACAGTGAATTCATAATTTAACAAGTGGAGTTGGTGTATTTTTTCATATGGTAAGTTTTGATAGCTTTTTCTTCCCCTTGATAAATCAAGTCATGATTTATATGGGTCATCTTTTTGTAGTATAAAATAAATAAATGAACACTTTTTCACATAAAGCATATTTTTTCCTGCTGGTGAATTTACAAGACGAGCATCGAAAACAAAAACTGATAGAAGCATAGAAACTCTTCAAGAAGCATCAAATACTAGAGCAAACTACGGCTTCAAAGAAATTCCTGGTCAGATGTCAAAACGAATGGTCCAAACAACGGTTTGTAAAATATCGCGATATCTGTTAAAGCAACGCCGAATACTTCACGTCACAAGTCACGTGTGTGTTTGTGAAGCTACAGTGGCGTTCACATCATCAGTTTGGCCATAGATTCGCAAAATGGACACAGATTATGCTGAATAAACCTCACCACAGAAAGGTACTGGGTTCTATGAGCACTCCATTTAAATGTACGCTCTAGTCAGGTGTTTCTAAGTGAATTAAAATGTTATACGGCACTTGTTACCTACGAGGGCTCAGGGTTACTAGCTCACGGTGTTGGCTAGCAAGGTTAGCTTGTTTGGTACGTAACCGCCGGGTTATCTCTGTGAGTGCTTGCAAGCAGGTACGGGGTTTAACTGACATCCGTGTCAGTTAAACGCTTGTTTGCAGCCATGCTAACGTAGTTGCTTGGTGATACTGTGTGGACGTGAGAGGCCTTAATCTGTCAGAAGTGGGTTACGTTGACGTGCGGACTGTCTGTGACTCTTGCATAGAAAGTTCCTGTGCGTCAGTACCGATTCCCGCTACAGCGAGGATGTTTCCCAGCCTGGCCGCCCACAGACCGTGGCATGTTTTCCGCAGGGTCTCATTGCAACAGAGATCGTCCCTGTCACAGCGGCCCCCGAGGTTTCCGCAGCTGTGCCACGGTGAGCAGACTTTCACGTTAAGGTCATCTGTTCATTCTCTTAAGGCTTGGTGTTTGTTTGAGAGGGCATGAAAAGGCAAGTTGTGATTGTGTTGCACAGGTTGGCAAAGCGGAGGGCTACACAGCTTATGGTTCAGCCTCCCAGACTGCCGTGTAGTTTCTCTAGGGTTGGGCAAGGTCCAGTATTACTCTACCTCTGATACCGGTAAAGATGGTCCCCCAAAACCACCATCAGGTGATGCCCCCTCTGCAGCAAAGGTTGTATCTGGTGCTGCACAGGCCACCCCAGAATCACCAGGTAAGAAACTTGAAGATTTCCATAAGCTCCATAAATTGTAGCTGTTGAGAGACTTGATTTAAACCATTGTGATGTGCACAGGTTTTCCTTTATAATCAAGCATATTTTTGTATTTGTTGCTTCTCGTGTCAACACAAACAGTAGGAAACAGTTAAATGATAAATGTATGATGTGAGGAATGTGCAGTTAAGATACATTATTTGTTCTAATAGGTGCAACACCTCAGGGTCTGACTAAAGCAGAGACAATTCAAGTGAAAGGTAAAGAACAACATTTGTCATTCCATCACGTTAAACTCATTTAAAATAAGAATGTGGGTGTGATCGGGTAGCTTGAATTTAATTTCCCACTGTGGTCACATGCAGTTCGTGCTGTCCTGAAGAAAAGGGAATATGGAGCCAAATACACTCAGAACAACTTCATCACTGCAGTCAGAGCGATGAATGAGTTCTGCCTCAAACCAAGGTAACTCCTCGTCCTCAGTTGTTTAACATTCAATGTTTGATTTATACAACAGCACCAAATTGTAAATCATCAAAGCTAAGCTGAGTGTTTTCTGCTAACTTAGATGCTGGTAGACAAATTTCTTTTGGTTAATAAGGATGTGTGCTGCTGTGATTAACTAATGTAGGACTGCCTTGTGCAGCATGGGTCTAACTTAAGTCTTACTCTCACGTCTTCACAGTGATTTGGAACAACTCCGGAAGATCAGAAGGCGCAGCCCCCATGATGACACAGAGGCTTTCACTGTCTTCCTGCGCTCAGACGTTGAGGCCAAGTAAGTGTTAAACACCTCTGCTTTCCATCTTAAGCACAAATACGTTACAACACCTCCCAAACTATTACTGCTTAATCCAGAGACTTCACTGATATTTTTCTCTTAACCCCTGTTAATTCAGTTATTTCTCTTTGTTATTAGAGCACTAGATGTTTGGGGAAGCCATGAAGCTCTGGCCAGAGAGAGAAACCTCAGGAAAGAGGTGGAGAGAGAGTACCAAGAGAGTAGGTTTTTATCTTTGGTCTTAATCCAAAACAGTTCAACAGGCTTTGAAATTTCAAAAC